AACGTTACGAACGTACCATGGTGCGCCCGTTAGTGCACTTAAAATTTTAGACTGGAACCTCTGTATTTTATCGATATTAGTTGCACAGGTCGTACCCCACAGTTGAATACCATACATCCAAATTGGTTTTAATACTGCGTTGTAAATAAGGACTTTGTAGTCTAGTTTTAGACCGGAGTTTTTATTTAAAAGCCAATTTAAACTAGCTGCTTTTAATTTCATGTGTAGACGTCTATCTAAGTGTATACCGAGATATGCAACATCGTTTATTTGGGGAATGTTTATACCATTTAAGCGAATTGCAGGACATGATTGAGGTCTTAAAGTGAATGTGACGTGTTTAAACTTTTGCTCATTAACTTAAATTCTCCAGTTTTTTAGCCATTCTTCGATGAGGAGTAAATGATCACTAATCGTTTTCGCTGCTCTTTTAGGGCATTTATCATGGCATAAAATAGCTGTGTCATCCGCAAAGGTAGCTGTCTGCACTTTTCGGTTTAAAGGGATGTCTGCCGTGTATATCATATATAAAATGGGCCCGAGGACGCTTCCCTGCGGAACACCTGTTTTTACCGGATACTCCTCACTGATAAATTCAGATTGTTTAATGGTAAATTGTCTGTTAGTCAGATATGACTTAAGTATCATATAAAATTGAACAGGCAGAGCTTTATGTATTTTGTGCAGTAAACCTTTATGCCAGGCTTTGTCGAACGCTTGTGCTACGTCCAGAAAGATTGCACAACAGTACTCCTTGAGCTCGAATGCCTTTCATTAGTTATTCGGTTAACTTGTTCGATAGTACTATGCTTTTCACGAAAGCCGAATTGGTGATCTGGTATCACATTGTTACGGTGGAGGAAAGGAGATATTTTTGTTAGCAGAATTTTTTCAAATAATTTGGAAAGACTGGGTAGTAGGCTTATTGGTCTGTAAGACGCCGCCTGTGTGTGGTCTTTGCCTGGTTTGGCTATTATTAATATCTGCGACTTTTTCCACGCGTTTGGAAAGTAATTTAATTTTAGAATGGCATTAAAGAGTTCAGAGAGCAATGCTTGTGCAACTCTTGGTAGCTCTATTAGCATTTTAGATGTAATGAGGTCGTGGCCTGGCGATTTCTTTGGATTCAGTTTCTGTATCGCGTTTACCACTTCTAAGCTTGATATTGTAATTGCCACCTGATTTTCCTGGCCGTTAATATCAAATTCCGGCAGAATAAAATTATTAGTTGCGTCATTTGGCTGGAATACATTACTTAAATGCTTTGCAAAGCAATTTGCTTTTCTTCATTACTACGCGTCCAGTTACCATTTGGGTCCCTGATTGGCATATTCATTTCTATTGGAGGCTTAAATTTCTTTTGTGCTTTCCACAGTGAGTATTTTTTGTATTTTAGCCAGTTGGTTTCTCTGTTTGTTAGTCTATTTTCGGGCGCTCGTAAATTTTTATTAGAACTGGTGAGTGGTCTGAAGACAACTCAGCAACTGTCACAGCTGATACAAGTTGCCTGTCGATTTTTCTTGAGACAGTAAAGTCTATTAAGTCAGGTATTTTCTTCCGATCGGTAGGCCAGTATGTTGGTTCATATGATAAAATAACGTAAAAAGGAAAGCTAAAATATGAAAAAAGTAAAATTTAATATAACAAAATAACACAAAAAAATATAATATAATATAAAATATCGTAAAATAAAATAAAACAAATATAATAAAATGAAAATTTAAAATAAAATGAACATAAATAAAAATTTGAATTAAATAAGATAAATAAACAAAGCATTAAATGAAAGAAAATAAAAAATAGTAATTTAAAACAAAATAAAGAATGACAATTTAAATTGAAACACAAATAAAATTACTAAATAAAAATCATCTCATCAAATTAAATTCAATCAAGGTGGTGCAAAATAAAATTAGAAAATTAAATTAAATTAGAATAAAATAATGCAAAAGTTATAAAGTAAAATAAAATTAAACAAAATACACTAAAATAAGGAAAATAAAATGACAACAATGGATGCTAAGCGAAGAGAAAAGAAATTCGACTTCAACCTTTGACTTGACTACCAACGCCTGCTCATCACACCTGCTCTAATTTTACTCTAAAAATCATCATAATGTAACCGCAATCGCATGAAAACATAGAATATGTATGTATTCGTGTATGTGTATCTAGCGTACATTCGGATAAATCACTTTAAGCAACCACCGCAAATCTATGTCAAACACTCGAATTTAACAGTCTAATCTGGCAAGCAGCTGCCAACTAACAAAAGTGTAGCTTACAACACGAAGTAGTACACGTATATTTATATATTTACAAGTATTAGCCCACACCACCCTAATTTGAGAGAAAAGAGTAAATGATTTACGGCAGTCTTTTTTATATATTTTCTTATTTTTATTTTAAACAACAATTAATTGAATTTACAATATATTTTATAAATATAATTACCATTTGCTTAAATATACATATACACATATATTTTTAATATTGATTTTGGTATAATTATGCTTAGATTATAATATTTTATAAATAATTTGTTTAACAAATAAGGACTTTACAAGAAGTATAAATGTTTTACTGATTTTTTGTAAAGATTTTCTAAACCTGTGAAAGATTCATTAAGGTCACTGTCCTCCTCTGAAGGTGTCTCCGCAAGCTTTTCCGAAGGTTTCTCTGAGAGCGTTTCTGAAGGTTTCTCTGAATAATTCTGGGATGGCTGCTCAGCAGACTTCACTGATGTCTTCTCGGGAGTGTTTTCTGTAAATTTCGCGGAAAGTTTATCTAGAGACTTTTCAGAAGATTTATCTAAAGCGTTCTCGGAAGTGCCGTCTGCAAAATTTTCGGCAGACGCTGACGGCTTCTCGGAGGTGTTTTCTGTAAATTCTTCGGAAGGTTTATCTGAAGACTTCTCAAAAGATTTTTGTGAACGCCTCTTGGAAGTGTTTTCTGTCAATTTCTCGGAATGTTCCTCTGAAGACTTGTCGGGAGGTTTCAATGTATATTTTTTCAAAAGCGTCTCAACATCTTTCTCATACAAGGGCTTGTCTAGTAAGCAAATCTTCAAGACCATATCACAATCATAAAAGTTGTCGGTTAAGTGAAACAACTGTCGGTCACTGCTAATATTAACCCAATTATCCTCCAAGTCGGTAGAGGTTTCATCTTCACTATCCGAACTCAGCTGATCTTCTGATGAAGTTATCTTCGAAGCACTTAAGTCACCTCGGACTGTTACTTCAGGTGGGGTGTTCAAATTGGGCTTTGATTGACTGGGATCTGTTGATTCTTCACTGGGATCTGATGAGTTGTTTTCTTGATTTTTAATGTATTCAAAATTGGCCCCTGTCATATAATGTACATCTCTACAATCGTATGATATATTGGCAAATGTATTTGCATTAAACCAATCTACACCGTACTCGCCATTCTCCGATGCGGTTGTGTAGTGCTCCGAGTCATCGGAATCAATTTCTTCGATAGATACTTCGGACTCATATGGGTCATTTTCTTCGATAGACTGTTCCAAGTCACTTTCTTTGATGGGCGACTTTTTCGAATCATGCGATTCATTTTCTTCCATAGAATGTTCTGAGTCATTAGAATCACTTTCTTCAATAGACTGTTCCATGTCACCTTCTTCGATAAACGACTGTTCCGAATCATGTGAATCATTTTCTTCCATAGATTGCTCGGCCTCATCTGAATCACTTCCTTCGATAGACGATTCTTCCGACTTATTTTCTTCCATAGATTGCTCGGCATCATTTGAATCACTTCCTTCAATGGGCGCCTCTTCCGAATCATGTGAATGATTTCCTTCGATGGAGTGCTCCGAGTCGTTTTCTGCGATAACTTTTTTTGAATCATCTTCTTTAATAGATTGTTCCAACTCATGTGACTCATTTTCTTCCATAGATTGTTCGGCCTCATCTGAATCACTTCCTTCGATAGACGATTCTTCCGAATCCTGCGACTCATTTTCTTCCATAGATTGCTCGGCCTCAGCTGAATCACTTCCTTCAATAGACGCGTCTTCCGAATCATGTGAATGATTACCTTCGATGGAGTGCTCCGATTCGTTTTCTGCGAAGACGTGTTGTGAGTCATCCGAATCTTCTTCTTTAATAGATTGTTCCAACTCGTGTGACTCATTTTCTTCGATAGATTGTTCGGCCTCATCTGAATCACTTCCTTCAATAGACGCGTCTTCCGAGTCATGTGAATCATTTCCGTCGATGGAGTGCTCCGAATCGTTTTCTGCGATAACTTTTTTTGAATCATCTTCTTTAATAGACTGTTCCAACTCAAGTGACTCATTTTCTTCCATAGATTGCTCGGCCTCATCTGAATCACTTCCTTCAATAGACGTTTCTTCCGAATCATGTGAATGATTTCCTTCGAAACTTCAGAATAACCTTTAAGGAGTTACATATGCTTCTTAGTGGATCTATTTTTAACAATTTATTTAAAAACAATATTAATATTTTTTTTTTCAAACTACTTTACTGTCTTAAAATTATACGTGCTTTAGAAATTTTCAGAAATTTGCAAAGGAAAGCATGCAAAACTTCGCGAACTTGGCACCCTTTCGGTGACTCATTGGAAAAAAGGTCCGTCTGTATTGTGCAACTTATTTCAGAATCCTCCAACCTGATAGAAGGTATCGTGTTTCAGTTAATACCAAAAATTCGAATTTGGTCAAAGCAAACATTTTTAATATTGAATTTTTGCCAAACTCTTTTTTTTTACAAAAAAAAAAAAGAATGCAAGCTTTGTTAAAAGTTGCTCAACTTGTATTTGTCTAAATTTGTAATTAGTTGAGATTGAAAAAGAGCCCATCAAGATCGTTTGAGCAATTTTTAGAGCTCTCATTAACCGACTTCGGAAGCAGAGTTGCGAGAAAACCGCATTTAAAGTGCTGAACAGAGCACTTATAATAAGAACTCTATTTTAATTTAGACCACAGTTGCAAAGAAGCGTTTGCGTCCGATTTACCAAAGAGCGGGTATCGGAAATTAGGAAAAAGTTGGCTCTCCTCATTTCACGGGATGTGGTAGAGATGAAGGGAATTTTTACCAAGACGAAAACTAGTACGGTACTCTTTCTACCAAAGACGTGTGTGTCCTGGTGGAACACAATTCGGCCCCTGTTGTTTAAAGATGGCCTCTTCTTAATGAGTGCTACCTTCAAGCGGTGCAGTTGTTGGCAGTAGAAGGCCGAATTTAGCGTTTGGCCATAGGGGAGCAGCTCTTAGTAGATGATTCCTTGCCAATCCTACCAAACAAACAGCAATCCGTCAATCCGGTCTTGGCCACCGTCCGGGCCGCTTCCCCGAGCTTTGACCACGACCGTTTGCGCTCGATGTTGCCGTAAGTGACCCATTTTCAACGCCAGTCACAATCCGCTTCAGAAAGGGGTCGATTTTGTTGCGATTCAGCGGCGATTCGCAGATGGAAATTCGGCTCATCATATTTTTTTGCGTTAGTTCGTGTGGCACCCAAACATCGAGCTTCTTTTTGAATCCAAGGTTATGCAGATGGTTCCAAACAGATTTCTGGCTTATCTTTAGTTCCTCAGCAATCACATAAGAGCTCACCTATCGGTCTGTTTCCACTATTTCCATGATTTTATCGCAATTTTCGAAGACAGACATCCCGACGCATGGTGCATCTTTGACACCGGAATTACCGGAAGGGAACATAGCAAACCACTTTTGTGGTACACGTTCGTTTATAGTATCGGACCAATAAACTAAATTAATTTTTTCAGCCGCTGTGGCTGCTCTTTCGTCTTGATCGAAGAAAAATTGTAAAATATAGCGAATTTTCTCTTTTCTGGCACTCACAAGGTACTGAGTCAGTCAATCGAAAAACTGTCAAAAACAAACATTCAGCGCGAATAGACTAGTTTTCAGCGGCGTATAATATAATATATATTTTGCTCGGAAATCGAGAATGTGAATGAAAAAAAATCTAACCTTGAAAATACTTTGTTTATTCGTTTCAAGTACCAGAAAAAAATAAAAATAAAAATAATAAGCATAAAAATAAAGTAAAAAAGATAAAACAATTAGTGACTTACTTTAAAAATTGTTAATAAGAAAAATAAAATTAAAGGCCAAAAGAAATACTCAACAGAAATTTTGAAATTTTAATAATGGTATTTATAAAATATAAAGTGCGTTTATTTACATTACATACATATTTAATTATATTTGCAAGTATTAGCCCACACCACCCTAATTTGATAGACAAGAGTAAATGATTTACAACAGTCTTTTTTATATATTTTTAATTTTTATTTTAAACAACAATTAATTGAATTTACAATATATTTTATAAATATAATTACCATTTGCTTAAATATACACATATATTTTTAATATTGATTTTGGTATAATTATGCTTAGATTATAATATTTTATAAATAATTTGTTTAACAAATAAGGACTTTACAAGAAATATAAATGTTTTACTGATTTTTTGTAGAGATTTTCTAAACCTGTGAAAGATTCATTAAGGTCACTGTCCTCCTCTGAAGGTGTCTCCGCAAGCTTTTCCAAAGGTTTCTCTGAGAGCGTTTCTGAAGGATTCTCTGAATAATTCTGGGATGGCTGCTCAGCAGACTTCGCTGATGTCTTCTCGGGAGTGTTTTTTGTAATTTTAGCGGAAGGTTTATCTGAAGATATCTCGAAAGGTTTCTCAGAAGACTTCTCGGAAGTGTTTTTCGTAAATTTCGTGAAAGGTTTATCTAAAGACTTTACAGAAGATTTATCTAAAGGGTTCTCGGAAGTGCTTCCTGATGACGGCTTGTCGGAGGTATTTTCTGTAAAATCTTCGGAAGGTTTATCTGAAGACTTCTCAAAAGATTTATCTGAAGGCCTCTCAGAAGTATTTTCTGTAAATTTCGCAGAATGTTCCTCTGAAGACTTGTCGGAAGGTTTCATTGTATATTTCTGCAAAAGCATCTCTACATCTTTCTCATACAACGGCTTGTCCAGTAAGCAAATCTTCAAGACCATATCACTATCATAAAAGTTGTCCGTTAAGTGAAACAACTGTCGATCACTGCTAATATTGACCCAATTATCCTCCAAGTCGGTAGAGGTGTCATCTTCACTATCCGAACTCAGCTGATCTTCTGTAGATGAAGTTACCTTCGAAGCACTTAAGTCACCTCGGACTGTTACTTCAGGTGGGGTGCTCAAATTGGGCTTTGATTGACTGGGATCTGTTGATTCTTCACTGGGATCTGATGAGTTGTTTTCTTGATTTTTAATGTTTTCGAAATTGTCCGTTGTCATATAATGTGCATCTCTACAATCGTATGATATATTGGCAAATGTATTTGCATTAAAGCAATCTACAGTGTACTCGCCACTCTCCGATGCGGTTGTGTAGTGCTCCGAGTCATCGGAATCAATTTCTTCGAAAGATTCTTCGGACTCATCTGGGTCACTTTCTTCTATAGACAGCTCTTCCGAGTTGTGTGAATCATTTTCTTCTTTAACTGAGCCACTTTCTTTTATAGACGACTCTTGCGAATCAGCCGGGTCATTTATTTCGATGAACGACTGTTCCGTGTTATGTGATTCATTTTCTT